ATAATATTAATCAGTCACATTTTTCTTAAATATAAAAAAAACTAATCTAATAGGAACATTCTAATTTGAACTGCGAAAATATGATCTGAGAAATAACAACGCATCCTGTGTCTCATCACCAAGTCTGCTTCTCAATTTGTTGCACATATATGCAGCTGCTGAGAAAACGCGTTTAGGTTTGATGGAAGTTGGAGGAATCGTTAGTTAATACTTATAAGCCCTCTCTAGTTATAGCTTCCAGGACACTGGGAGGTTGGAAGAAAACAGTCCGGTCAACACAGATCGGGATTGTAAGAGTAAAGGCTACAATCCCGATTGTTTCATTGTAAGCATGTCTTTCTAAAAATAAACACGTTAATTTTGTAAATTTGGTCTCTGTGCGAGTCTCTCGGCGTCCAGCAAACCACTACCCCCAAACGTAAAAAGACTTTCTCGCATCATCCTGACAGATCGCGGGCAATGCTAGGGTCCCAACCTTTTCACCTNATTATTATTATTGATGATTTTAAATTTGCTTTGAATATAAATTCTTGTCATAATCTAATACGTAAATTAATACTTTGTAAATTATTTTCTAAGTAATAAATTATTCTCCATGATATATTTTATCTAGTTCAGTGAATAACAAGTCATTAATCACAGTCATAACTGCAGTTTATGGATGTAATAACAAGCATTAAATAATATTTTAAAACTATATTTTCATCATATATTTTTACCTGAATGATCAATCCTTTGCTTTTATATTCCACTTGTACAGCTTGAGATAAATAATCTACATAGGTCTGAAATGAGACAGTTTAAGAAATCAAAAATTCACTTCAGTCATTTGAAACTGTCAACTATATATTTTTACTATTACAATAAATTAGTATTTTTAATAACAATTATGTAAAATATTTATCTGTTAAACTTTAAAATTATATGAAATACAAACTACCTTATATAATAATGACAAATATAGTAGATTTTTTTCCCTTAAACTTTCAAATGATCATAAAGCATGTGGTCTTTATTTCTCAAAAATAAAATAATATAGAGAGATTTAATGTAAAATAGTTAATTACTAAATAATTAACCTATATATTGTTTACTTCTCTGATTTTGAATTCATATCAATGATAAAAATAGAGAACTTCTTTGATACCCACATGCTCAATGACTTTATTTTACACTGCTGTCTGTAATTAAGAGTACATAGAATAAAATAATAAATATTAAATTTTTAAGACATCAATAACTAGAACACTAGTTATAATATACAGGTATCAATCTATATCTTACAATCTGCATTTCCTTTTTCACACTAAATGCATAATCAACAATCGCAAATTTAGAATATGTTTGTAACCATTCTTTCAGATACCAAAATATATAAATGCAATGACTATCCAAATATTGAGTATTGCAATAACTCAATGAATACTTTCATATTGATATGTATTCAATTTTTATTTATTTATTAGTATTTCATCTTTATTACCAATTTTATAACTTTAGAAATTTATCACTTGACCAGCTAAGTGATAACTTTAATATTTATCTTTTACTTAGACTAACCTTAGCTGACAATGATACTTTTATTTGTATTTTATGTTTAATTGTCCAAGTTCAATTTGTATTATGTATTGTGTTTTTTTGGAACAATTCTATTTATGAATTGTTCCAAAAAGAATATCTTGTTATACAGTAAACCATAATATAGATTCATCATTACTCGTCTTAATAGTAAAATTTTCTGCCAAATGTGTTTGGTATATGTTCATATTTTATTCATCCCAGATTCTTTGGATCTGCAATTTTTGACAGATTGGCATAACATTTAGTAAACTTCTTTACATAACAATTTAAACAATTAATTACACACATTTAAATAAAATTTACTTATTATGTTATAAAAGTAATTTGTTTAACTGTAATATTTTATCAGATGTACTTAGAAAATATAACTAAAACTTTAGAGAAACATGAAACAGTGCTAAAATAAAACTGGAAATGAATACAGAAAATTACAGATTTAAACAATTCTTAACATCAGTATTATTTAAAACAATTGTTTGTTGTTATTCTTATAAAGATTACTAGAAGAGTTATAAAATATTCAAAACTTTTATATAAAATATAATTTACCTTTGTAGCTGCATATACACTTAAGAGAGGCACTGGATTTGCTGCACTGAATGATGACATGTTAATTATTACACCTTTTTTTCTTTCTACCATTTGTGGCATTATCATTCGCATCATCTTAAAAAAAATGTTAGTTCTTTACATGACTATTTATAATATGAATAAATCTTATATACTGCTTGAGCATTTCTTAATCTAACATTCCATATATATTGATTTTACTAAAAAATTAAATTTCATACAACTGCATTTAAGATAATTAAAATATCTAAAATTATTATATTTAAATTTATTTTGTTCTAATAATCTAGTTTTCAGATGTGTTGGATTTGTCTAAGTTTACTTACTTAGCATATCTGAAAATTAAGCAGTTTAAAAATTAGACTAGAGAAGTCCAAACCACACTAGAATCACTTATTGTAAATCACTGATATTGCTATCAGTAATATGTTTTGGAGTACGCTAATTCTAATAAGTTTAAATTAGCCATAAAACCTCACTTATTATAATGAAAGTTTCAGTTAGTTATAATTATTATTAATTAATAGAAAATAATAACTTAAAAACACATAATTAATAACTCTTCAATTATGATTTATCCTTTGCTTCTATTCCATTTCTTTAATCTTAATATGTAACTGGTTCAAACAATTATTTTCTAGGAATTATCACATCTCTATTCCTAGAAAATAAGTGTTTCAACTGGTTATGTGTTTTAAAAAAATCTTCAGTTATTTAACATCCAGAATTTCCTGTAATTTTAGTCTTAATATTAATTATTAACATGATTTTTAAAGCATTTTTATATTCTGAAAGTTTAAAATTCTTTTTAAAAGAAAAAAATTTTTGAATGATTCTATTATTATTTTTTTTTAAATTTTTTACTCTTTCTGACTCACGGTACTAAGACAGAAGGCAAAATTCTTTTTTTATTTTAAAATACATTAAAGCTGACTGTCTTGTCTCAGAAATTAAATTTCAATTAATAATTTTAATAACTCAAAACAACATTAAACAGGATTACTTTATCTTGTTTATTAAGTTGGTTATTGTTATCCACATAGGAAATTCACATTTGTAAAAAACAGATTCTACTATGTAATATTTAAATTCTCTTTCTCCAGCCTATTCCTTTTAAAATAGTTATATTTCAGTAATTTTTATATGATGATTTGTTATGAACTGAAAATTAAGTTTCACATACAGATAAAATAGAAAACAAATCTCTCTAATCTTCATTTGTGTCTATGAAAATTTCCCCAAAGAATGATCATTTAAAAAATAAACAGGATTAAAAAATATTTCTAACAGTCCAAAGAGAATCATTATTGCTATGAGTAAAACTTGCAATTTATTTTAGTCTTAAGATCAGTTTATGAATATAGATATCGATTAGAAAATTCATCATAAATTAAATTAAATCTCTATTTAGGAATCTTTCAAATCAGTTTTTAGCATATATGATCAGTTAAATCTGTCATTAACCAAACTTTTTTGAAGGCCGATGAAACACTTGTCAAATTCAATCTATTTTAATTTTAGAAAGAATCTGATAAAATAATGTCTTTTTTAAAGTACTTAATTAACTGAATTTCTGATTTTCAAAATAGCCAGATGAATTTATCAACAATAAATTCATTGTATTTTATAAAATATTTATAAAAAGGAATAAGCACAATTAAAAAATATTAAGTTTTATATTATGATAAGCATTAAAATAAATGTCATATTAAGATGTATTTATTTATTTATGCAATGTCTGTTTTATTGTAAATTATATTGTATTTGTGACCGACAAAAACTTATAGAAAATGCATATTGTTTTAAATGAAGATTTTTAGTAGTTGTAATTAGTCTAGTTCATTCATTCATGTTCATTTTCATTTGAACAATTTCTGGAAAAAATAATTGACATTTTGGACAATAATTAATTATTAGACATGTAAAGTCACAGAAATACCATTCTGTAGACATGCATTGCATTCCCCAAAACTATAGGGTAGTGTAATTTACACTGATTTAATTTCTATAATTTTTGAATTTTATAAGTCTTAATAATTCATTTTATTAAGAATAATTTTGTTTGAATTTTTTTAAAGTCTAAATTAAAAAAAAAAAACAAAAAGCAACTTAAAGTTAAAATTTATATCTTATCATATCAAATTTTTCTGAACTTAACATTGTCAGGCAAATGAAAAATTTGCCTGACAATGTTAAGTTCAATGAATTTTTGTTCATCATTGTCAGGCAAATGAAAAATTTGCCTGACAATGATGAACAAAAATTCATTGAAAGTGCTAATGAAAATACAAAGCTGTTAACACTACTTTCAGTGTGTCTTTACTTCCACTTATCTGATATTTAGCATGAAAATCAAGTTATATTGTAAACTAAATGATTTCTTAAAATTACTTTTTAAAACTCATTACATTATTCTACACTTCTCAAACTAATTTTATAAAAATAAAGCCTTTACTTATCACTCTCCATCTTCGTATGCTATTCAAAAATAATTGAGTACATGATAAGAAAGCTAGGATCTGATCTGATCTTCAAAATCCTGTACATTTACATTTAGATATTTTATCCTTCCTGATCTGAGTGACAGAGAAATTCTAGATGGTTAATAGCTTTGCCATTACCATACCTTGGATTCCTTTCCATATGCATTTGCCAAATATTCAGGCAACATAACTTTCTCCTGGCCATCCCACTATTGAATTTGTGCAGACTCATCTGCAACAATCAGGATAAATTCTCCACCTTTAAAAAGTTGGGAATCTACACTGTGCCATTGGAGAATCCTGTAACGGGAATGAATACAAGACATGAATGCTTGCTAGCTGCCTAGCCAAGCACCAGGATAATGTGGTAAAAGGAACATATACCATGGAACTCACAAAAAAGTGCTCAAAGAGAACTACAACCCATTATGGGCTCAAACACTACTACTCAGATACTGCAGCAACTGGAAACTTGTATTTATATGGAAATCCCCCTTACAACAACCTTGGAGCCATGCAACACTCCCACACTTGATCTGCTCAGCACGTGGGTTGCTCTATATAAATGATTAAATAGGGATATATGTCTGCTATCACACCATTAATATAGGTTTATATACATGAATGCACTGCATGACATCATAACATCTAGCATACTCAATCTTTGTAGCACACTCATAATGATTTTTTTAGTTTTAATTTTTAAATGAGTTCTACTTATATTAGAACATTGTATTCTATTTTTAATTTTTCATTTGCCTAACGATGATGAACGTAAGTTCATTGAAGGTGCTATCAAAAATAAAAAGCTATTAACACTACACTCAGTGTCTATTTCCACTTATCATTTAGTTTAATCATGCATATTCATTTTTAACAGTCATCACTTCAAGTGGTACATTTTCCAAATGTTCAATCCATTTCTGTACTCTACATATTAAAAAAAATTCATTTTTCCTTGATCCATTCATGTATAGTAGCTTGGACTTCAGCATCTGAAGATCAGCATTGTAGCATTCAACATATATTTTAAATTTGGAAAGGAATCAAAAGTGTGGTGATGTCAAAACTGAGAATTTGAAATAATCTGTACTTTCAGCTACTGACTTCAGATTGTTTCTGTACTACAATGCAGCCTGTGTTATCAGGTACAAGAAAAAGATGGTTATTTCTGCCTTACTCTGTAAATAAATATCTTGTAAGGATTCACACTTTACTGAATATTTATACTAAAAATTCAATTACTGATTTCTGCTTTGTATGGAATAAGTTTATCCTTAAACTTGACTCTTATGTAGCAATGCAATCAAGACTTTACACTTATAGGCTAGAACAAATATCAATATTGCTTAGCTAGTAAGTGATGTAATAATGTCTGCATCTGCATTTTGCAGAACATTGTAATAGGAGATTCTTATTTTAAAATTAGAGTATATTATTAGTTTTATTTACTTATTGTGGAGTGCATGTGCACAAGTTATACAATAGAGCATCGATTATCCGACTCAATTGAGGACTCAGGTTGGTCGGATAACTGAAAAAATCAGATAACCGAAAAGAATGAAAAAATACATTATTAGTATAGCATATTAGTATATCCCATGTAATTAGTATATCGCTATTAACTAACTTTGCATTGAATTTTCATCAATAGTAAGCCTAACAAATTTTTTTTTAAAATGATAATCGTCGCTATTGTATCGTTAAAAATTATTTTATTGCTCACAAAACAAACAACCACTCATAATTAGAAAATTAAGTCTCATTTAAATACTGGCCTCCCTTCTATGGTCGATCCAACGTTGCCAGCTAAAACATGCAAAAATTTAACAAAAATAATATTAAAGTAGCCAAGACATAGCCAAATATTGTAGTGCCACATCACTAACGGGCATTTGAAATTTGCCGACTAGAACAGTCAGTTAACCGATGTGACGGTTAATTGGGGGTCGGATAATCGATGCTCCACTGTAATTTCTTAAATTTTAACTTTATAGATTTTTTTCAATATTTATATGAAATTTTATTTGGAGACAAACAATACGTAAACAAGTATCTTATATCTTTCTCTATTGAGTAGAAATTTCTTTTTAAACTAAAAATTTAGAAAAAATAAATATCATAATTTAGCTTTTAAAAAGTACAGTACATTCAGAATATACACAAGATCAGCCTACATAAGAATAAATATATGACATAAAAATTAAATATTTATAAAAATTTATTTACAAAAATATATTTAATTTTTCTGAATAAATTTGATTTTCTCATACATACCAAGGTGCAAGAAATCACATTCGTCTTTATCAAGTTATTGAAGAGCTGCAATAAAAATAAAGATATTTATAATTTATAAAAAAAATTTACTTAAATTTTATGATTTATATAGTTCTCAAAACATATATTTAAGTTTATTTTTAAATCTTAATTTGAAATTTTATTTATTTTTAAATATATAAATGTCAAAAGAATAAAAAATTTGTATCAAAAAAATTAATTAAACAATTTTTTATAAAATCACTTATTCCTTGTCCTTAAAATATAACAAACACAAAGACACACACACACAAAACTTAAGAATAAACACAATTGCTAGTAGTGACAGAAAAAGGCACAGAACTAGTCAGTACAATTTGCACAGATGTATGAATAAAATAGTAGTAGTAGTAGTAGACATATTCCATACTGACAGGTCTCTCTGCCTGGGTATTGGTAAGCACTTTCCATTCATTCTCCACCTATGTCCAACTCTCATTTGTATCTTTTACCAAAAGCCTTACATTTATTGCTTTAATTTGTAAATTCCACAAGTTGTTGCGTGGAATTTTATAAATTAAAGCAATAAATGTGTTAAACATTGAGTAATACAGTTCTTGCCATATTCATTTTCATTCATCTACAGTTATCTCTATTTTACAAATTTCATTAGTCCTTAAGTTTTGGACATGTGTATGAAATGGAGAGAGAAGAAATAATAAAGAATAAGTTAAGAAAAATAAACAAATTTAATTTTTTATTGCTCACAATAACTATCAAACTATGATATAAATATTCATATACAATTTTTAATGCATTTTTATATTCTGAAAGTTCAAAATTCTTTTTAAAGAAAAAATTTTTGACTGATTCAAAATTAATAATTTTGATTACTCTTATTATTAATTTCTGAAATTTTTTTTACTCTTTCTGACTCATGGTACTAAGACAGAATGCAACATTTTTATTTTAAAATACATTAAAGCTGTCTTATCTCAGATATTAAATTTCAATTAATAATTAATAATAAGAGTAATTACAGTAGAACCTCGATTATCCGGAATAATTGGGGATGAAGGTAGTCTGGATAAGGAAAAATCCGGATAATCGAAACAAATACTTTAATTTGTCTTTTAATGATAATACAACACGTTTTCTTTTCAATGACATATCGGTAATATTAAAAATAAATACTGTATTTAAATCATAATCAAATTTTCAAGAAACAAATGTTTTATTGAATTTGGACTACTACTGACCAGCGCTAACAGACTACCTATTGTTTAAAAGGCCCTCTGGCAGCTCAAGAATACGGATTTTATAAAATAAAAAGCAGTTGAAACTGCATTTTTATGAATAAAAATTTGACAAACTATTTGTCGTTTTATGAGGAGTAAAATTTTTTCGTCGCGTTCGCGGCTTTTAAGTAATGCATAAACCTTCGAGGCGCGAAGCCCTTCAAACCGTGAGGCATAGGTGGTGGACCACATTGCCCATGCCTTACGTCGCTCTTGGTTATAGAAATGATGTAATTTGAGTATAAATTATTTATAAATACATATGTCAAGTTATATTTTTATTATGATGCAAAATATATTTAAGAGTTTACGACCACTGTGCCAGGTGAGACGTTGTTGAAACAAAAAATGTTATGCATTTCATCACGTACATAAATGGTGTCGTAATTTGCCAAGTGCAAATCAGCAAATTCGTAAATTTTTGTTTATTTTGAACAATCCAGATAATCGAGGTTATACTGTAATTTACTTTTCATACATATGCATCAATTTTATTATTAAAAGCTCTATTTTCTGATGATAAAAGTCATCTCTTAGAAAAGAAGATAAATAAATAAATGCTTACTGGAATTAATTAAATAAAATAAACAAACACCTTTCTCTATTCCAGCACAACGTTTAATGCGTTAAAAACGCATTAAACATTGTGCTTTAATAGAGAAAGGTGTTTGTTTATTTTAAAGAAAATAACTATTTTTCGCAAAAATATATTATTTAAGTACAATTTTTTCTCTACCTCTCATTCCAAGTTCTCTTAAGATAGACCTATGTATTAATATATTACAAAAAACAAAGTACTTTTTCTTATGATATTTATTTTAATTATTTCACTATATTCAACTGATGAACTATATATAGTAAAAACATGTTTAAATGTATTCATAATTCTGTAAATTGGAAAAATTGCAAAATAATCACTTTCATAGAAGTATTTGTCTACAATAATTAGGGTTATTGTGGTAGAAGTTATTAAATCTGCATTTCATAAATGTATTTAATATTTTATCATATCTTCTAATAACAGAACATTGAGAGAAGAGAGATAAAAAGTATTCATTTCACAAAAGCTATAATAGTTAAAAATTTTTATTGTTTCAGCTGTTTTTTGTTTTATTTGGACTTAAGTTTTTAAATTAAAACAGATAGTAAACAGAATAGTTTACCTGCTATAAGTAATAGATATGTATATATCAATGGTGCGGTTTTCTTTATATTCCTTTTAAAAATCAATTTTTCAAAAAAATATTTCCTCAAAAATTGATGAAACTTCATGGGTTAATTCTACAGAAATAACCACTGTTTTTTTTTGCCTGGACCACATTTAATTATAATCAATCACCATGGACAAATCACTAAGGAATTTGGATGCACAATCAACGAAAAAAGTGTAAAAATAATCCATAAAGAAAAAGATAGTTATCTACGAAAATTCAAAGAGCACTTCGAAATTGTTAATAAAAGCAAAACCATAAACCTAAATGATGGAATGGAGGTTGACAATGTGTGGGAGGAAATGGGAGGAGCTAAAGGGAAAGAAAACAAAAAAAAGGGAAAATGGTCTAAAAATGCCTTAGGGGACACAACAACAACACTGGGCAGATGTAGGTCTAAACTTAAAACAGGTTAATTAACTATTGTATAAATATATCCAAATAACTATTGTTGTAACTTACCGTAATAACAAATGTAATAATTGAATTTACCAATCTATAGAAATGTAAAAAACCTGAAGAGGAAGTGCAAGTTACATGAAAATATTGCACCCAAGATGTATAGTAAATAAGTAAATAAAGAATACGAAGATAAGCTTTTGTCTCTGATTAAATGTGGTCCAGACAAAAAAATGGTGGTTATTTCTGTAGAATTAACACATGAAGTTTCATCAATTTTTGAGGAAATATTTTTTTGAAAAATTGATTTTTAAAAAGAATAGTTTACTATTTTAAATTTTTGAAATGTATCAAGTTTTTTGAAATTAATAAATAAAATAAATACTTAAATAATAATTTTAACATGTATAATTAATTAACTAACTTACTTCTTCTGCATTTGGAACTTTGTTAAAATATTCAGCATAAGCATAACTTATTCCAACGTTATTTACTATAAAATAAACAAATATTACATAATTTTATAAAAATAGAATTTTGCAATTAATATTCCATAACAGTTCTGAACTCTTTATTAAAGATGATTGTCCTGAATTGGTAAGAATCTAGGACAAACATTCCATTAAACCTTCTCTAGAATGAGAGAAATACTCTAAAAAAAATTAAGAGAGCAGCTTCATAATTTGTCCTTTTCACACACTTTATTTTTTTCCCAACTGACATATTTTTTACATTACACCACAGTTAAAAATGATTTTAACAAATCTTGCGTACTAAGTTGAGAAGTGCCTCAAAATTAAGGTCAATTCTTCTGTTCAACTTTGTTGTGTTCCTAAGATATGTGAAAAGGAAAAATTATAAATATACACAATTTTTTTAAGTGTATTTCCTTTATTCTAGAGAACTTTTTATATCAGAACTTCATATTAAATAATTAATATTTTTATTTATTCATAAATGTATAACATATGAATACAAAAATCAAAATAAAAACATAGAAAGTCATATAATAACTAATTATAAAACCACCTAGTGTTAATCAATAGATGGTTTTATATTAAAATAATTATTGTAAAGAAAATAGAATAAATTAATAATCTGATTTAGTTTGACAAATTAATATTAAATTTGATATATTATTTATTTGGTATTTTATAAGAAAGAAAATACTGTATTAAAATCAAAACATACTGTATTCAATCATTCATTTTTATTTATAATATATTATTTCTAATCTGCTTTAATTTTTTATTGTTAAGTTTCTTAAATTAACCTTCAAAATATCTAAAAAACAACAAAGATTGTTTTTTAGATATTTTGGCTTGTTTTGTTTTTCCTTTTTTTGGATAAAAGTAATTTTTATTTTGAATCATAAGTTTTTCTTTACTGATATGTTACTTTACATCAAATAAAAGTTTAAATATAAATATTTATACCCCTCTTTCAGTTTTCAAGCCTAATAAAATCTGTCAATTTAATTCTCATATTCTGTCTGTTGTTCAGTTAAATTTTGTAATCAAGGCAGTTTTTTTCCTTCAAATTATTAAAATTACTCATTAAAGTAAAATTACATTTGAGCTAGGATAACTTAGTTACTATTACTTTCTATTAGATTAATTTTTGCTTACAATTATTTCACTTCATACATGTTAATTCAAAAATTGAAGAAAATTTATACATAAACTTATTATCAAAAGATAAAACAGCCAAATATTTCACAAAACAGTTGAGTCAAATCATTGTCTCGCATCCAAGATCTAAGCATATTTTCAACATTCTGGTGTTTGTGGATATCGAGGACTGCCATGCACAATTTCACATTCTGGCCACATATTTACAAATTATTTGAGGATTTTTGTAGTAAACTCTTGGCCATTGTCACTATGTAGGATATATGGAGTCTGAAGTAGCCATAGAAAATTTAAAAAAAAATTTGTAAGTTCTACAACTACTTCAGATGCCCACTTTGATTGAAGTGATTTGAATATTTAAGTAATTAGTAGCATTATCTTTATAGTTTAACAGCCATTTATATTTATACTTTCTATCTAGTGCTAACTGTAAATCAATTGAATCAATCTGTTCACTTCCATAAAATCTTTAGAAACTATTGGTTGGGTCACAATACTTTTCTTAGGTATAATTATGTTTGATTTCGCAGTAGGGACAAAGCAACAAATATTTCAACTGTTTTTTTGTGTGTAAAATCTAAATTTTAATATAATTTCTTCACAATCACCATGTTCATAGGATTTATGAATCTCCACAAATACAGTGGTGCCTCGTATAACGTACTTAATCCGTTCCAGGTGCACGTCCGTTAAGTGAAAAGTCCGTTATACGAAACACATTTTCCCATAGAAATACATGTTAAAACATATAATTCGTTCCGCAGCATAAAATAACCGTACTGTATCATTAAAAAAAAATGAAAATGGAGCAGTCACCAATTATGCGGGGTATTCAGGTAGAATTAACACATGAAGTTTCATCAATTTTTGAGGAAATATTTTTTTGAAAAATTGATTTTTAAAAAGAATAGTTTACTATTTTAAATTTTTGAAATGTATCAAGTTTTTTGAAATTAATAAATAAAATAAATACTTAAATAATAATTTTAACATGTATAATTAATTAACTAACTTACTTCTTCTGCATTTGGAACTTTGTTAAAATATTCAGCATAAGCATAACTTATTCCAACGTTATTTACTATAAAATAAACAAATATTACATAATTTTATAAAAATAGAATTTTGCAATTAATATTCCATAACAGTTCTGAACTCTTTATTAAAGATGATTGTCCTGAATTGGTAAGAATCTAGGACAAACATTCCATTAAACCTTCTCTAGAATGAGAGAAATACTCTAAAAAAAATTAAGAGAGCAGCTTCATAATTTGTCCTTTTCACACACTTTATTTTTTTCCCAACTGACATATTTTTTACATTACACCACAGTTAAAAATGATTTTAACAAATCTTGCGTACTAAGTTGAGAAGTGCCTCAAAATTAAGGTCAATTCTTCTGTTCAACTTTGTTGTGTTCCTAAGATATGTGAAAAGGAAAAATTATAAATATACACAATTTTTTTAAGTGTATTTCCTTTATTCTAGAGAACTTTTTATATCAGAACTTCATATTAAATAATTAATATTTTTATTTATTCATAAATGTATAACNCACCAATTATGCGGGGTATTCAGATGTTGTGATGAGGACGGGGAGGAACACTTTCTTCATACAGATACAGACTTTTTACACATTGCAGCGGGTCTCTTTTTATTGTTTTTTAATCGGAGTCAGATTCAGGAGAAGCTGCCAGGGCTTGCACGGTCAACTCCTCTTGTTCCATCTTTTGTTTTTTGGCAGCTTGCTTCTTGAAAAACATGTCCAAGGTGGTCTGTCTTTCTCTCTTCTTCAACACCTGTCAGAAATGACAGGCAAGGGTGTCATTGTAGAGATCATTGATCCTGTTGGCCTCAGCTCTGTTTGGATAATGAGTGTTGGTAAACTCCTAAACCTCTCCCCATTTGACAAGGAAGTTTTTGTCAACTTTCACTCCTTCTGATGATGTTTTGCTTTGTTTCAATTGAAATCACGTTTCTCTTTATTTAGAAGCCATGATTTTCACAACACTTGAATAAATGTAAATACCCTGCATTGAGGTGATGTACACAATAAACAAGGGAGCAAGCCGAATCCCAATAGGAGCTCTGTACTTCAGATATACTAATAATATATTCTAATATACTAATATATTGTAAAAATAGCAGATTGTCATTGGCAACGGCAAAAGTGTGGAAACATCATTTGCACTTGTTCGCAGAAAGACCGTTGTTCGCCTCACGTAACTGCCGAACGGACAGTCCGGTTGTTCGCAGCCAGTCCGTTGCTCGAGTCATGTAACGGCCAAACAGAAAGTCCGTTGTTCGCAGCATCCGTTATTCGAGGCGTACGTTATACGAGGCACCACTGTATATCAAAATACTGTTCAGTAAATATGATACATACCATAGAATTATCAGGTAACTTTTTCTTAAAAGTGAGATAATCCTCATTGCTGTATTTACGACATCATACTTTGAATACAATAATATTTCGATACATGTCCACTGTGAACCTTCTTTCTCTAATCCATGGTTTCTTCAAATTTTCACATTGTTTTCCCATAGAACACAATTAATTGTTTGTTGAAATTATCTTTAAACTCACTATATTCAGACATATTTTGTATACTTTCATTTTTTGTTGTAATATCCAATATTTCTAGCAAAACACACATACTAGACAATGGCCAATTAGTGAATGTGTCTTGGCACTTCTAGTGGTAAGAATCAAAAGTAAATATGACAATCTGGTGGTTTATCTAACACCACATTGTAAAGCAGCTAATCATTTGGCCAGTTGTATTATAGAATGTGAAATGTCATTCAATCCAGCAGGATTTGGTTTAATTAACCTTTTTGTAAAGTGGCTGAAAGTTAGTTAGCTTTGTTATAAAATGGCTAGGCACTTTGTAAACCAACAAAATTAACAATCTAGCTATGACATATACACCATTTACATGTAACTGAAAAGTGAAGCTAGCTGCTAGTTTAAATCAAAATCAACACTGGAAATGAAAAGTGAAAAAATGCTTAAAATTTAATATTGAAAGTAGAAAACTATTCAATTGCAGATTTAATTGGCCAGATATTCAACTTCTGAATTCTAAATTTAACACTATGCTGTTACCAATAGAAAAAAAATCCCCTATATAAAAATAGGGGGATTTTTAAAAAAGAAAAGCAAAGTTTACAAAAAAACATAAGTGTCAGGAGAGTAACTTCTACCCACAAAATGAAGAACTGTCTGAGTAGACAAAAATGTATGGTAACACTAGAATAAACCCATTTATGATAATGTATATCACACTTCATTCTCCATAAACTACAAATTATATGACCACTGCATTAAAAACATTTCCTTTTGTGAATTCATAATATTACATCTTTCAAATGCATTTTATAATTTATTCATTTTAATCACTTAAAATACTATATTCAAATTAAAGTGTTAACTCAAAAATTGCTTTACTCTGTTAAAAGTGCACTTTACTATTAAGATGTAAACTATCAATAATATCAAAGAATGATCATTATACATCAATGTAACTGCCATCAAATTTAAAATTGATACAAACTTTCTAGACAACCTAATATAATAGCCTTACTGATAATATTTACAAAATTTACTTTAAAATTAATATTGATATAGAAAATTTTTAAGTATTGATTAAAACCTAATACAATGTAAAATAGTCCAAAAACAATTTGACTATTAATATATTTTTTAAATCTTTATCAGTCATAATTAATGATTAATTTTATATATTTTAATTTATTTTGCAATATATAAAAAATTAATTACAACTGACATAAAATAAATATAAATAGATAATTTATTTGTTCTGTATATTATTTACTACCATAAATATTGAAATGTTAATATTAATACAATGAATAAATTGAATACCTAATACACCAATTTCCATTCCATCAATTTCTTTTTTAATAACATCATATATTTCTATTCCACCGGTAAAGTCTATTGGAATGCATTTTGTTTGAACTCCATAAACAGTTTCTGAAAAAAAATTGAAAAATTTGATTTATTTATTTTTTATATCAAAATAATATAAGTGAATTAACAACAACAAAGTTTTAATTCTAAAAATTTATAATATAAAATAATTTCCTTAAAGTTTGTAAAATTATCTTATCTGAAGAACAATTTGATTATATTTTTTTAGAATGCAATAAATATTAATCATAAATATCCAAAAAGATGACAGATGGAAGCCTACTGCTCTGAGAACCTAGGTTCAAATCTGGGCAAGCCAATCCCAGATAATTTTCAAGGATAGTCTGTCCCAGATTCATCAAGCCTCATCCCTCATCACCTAGGTGTCCCATAATGGATCTGGTCAAATCATAAAGGGCCTGAAAAAAGCCTCCTTAGTGTCCATAGGACAGATTTAAATATACATTTTCAGATGTAAAAATTTTCACTTTTATAAAAAATAAAAATCTGCATTCAACTGCACAAAGAAAAAGTTGAAAGTTTTGGAAAAAACCAATAAATGTGAAAATTGCTTAAAAAATTAAAAATTTTTAAGATTACATCTTTAGGCATGTAAGAATGAAATATACAAATACAAGTTTTATTCAAATAATAGTAAATTGCATCTTATCCTTAAAGTTTGAAATAATAACTGCCCTCACAGTTACTATTTGAAAACTTCTGAAAACGTAGGGAAAGAACATAAAATTAATAAATACTGTGAAGTAAGGTAGGAAGGCAACATATTTATTTAACAAATTCTAATAGAAAATGAAATAAAAGTTACTTCTCACCTGGTACTGGTCCAATTTACTTAATATAAACACACATAAAAACCTTTACTTGACCAGTAAAAATATATTTAATGAAAACAACTAACGTTTTCGACTGCTTTCTCAGTCTTCCTCAGGTTTTAAATTCTGATATTCGAAAATCGTTGTGCTTAAATATTTAAACATTTTGGAACATATACATCTTTGCGTATAAAATTCATTACGCGCATGCGTATTAGTCATTACGTACGTGAACCCAAATATTCACAAATATTATTTTACATATACATGTAAACGATGTATAACACCTTACATAGAGTTGTGGGGGCATTCTGCTTCATACGCAAACCTCCAAGCTGCCGAAATATTAATAGCATCTTTATAGTTGATACAGCTATTACGTAATCCTGCTTTATAAATTTCCAAAGCTTCTAGC